CAAAGCCAACCCTAGAAGACGCATCACTCTTCACAACCATAATGCGAGCTTTCACAGATCGACTGAAACAATTGCATTTTTGAGCACTCAAAACGCCGGTTTGAAACGTCCTGACTTGACTTCATTTTATTCCCGTTCGTTTTTGACGCCTGAAGTCAGAATGCATATTTTGGAGACACCTGAATCAGAGGACAAAAGTGCTTCGACAATTTGTTCAAACACATGCAAGGAAGGATACTATATGTAGATCTTAATCGAGAATATTTTGAAAAACAATAAAGCGATTTACGATGATTAAAATTTGTTGTTTTTTGTCGAATTCAGAAATATAAAAGGCAACCTGCTTATTATGAAGGATATATCAGTCAAAGTAAGGGAAAAACTTGAGAAGTGGATTATTATTAATCAACTTTATTTCCTCATCTGCGGATTGAAGTTTTTTCGGGTATATCGATATCAGCGGTTTTTTAATTTTCCTGGAATTTGAAAACAATTCTGAATATTACGAGGCATAAATATGCTATTATCCTTCTTGGTTTGATCTACACGTATTTTAAAGCAATTTTGCACATAAAATAATGTTATGAATTAAGTATAAAAAGGTGCATATCATTTTAAGTATAAACGTATATTTCATTTCATTAAACAAAYTTATTTTTCTGTAAGAATTTTGTATTTTTTCAAATTAAAATTTCCTAGAAAGCAAAGTCATATTCGTACACTATTGGAAGTACAAAAAAATTAATGTTATATAAAAAGTAATATTTTCACAAATTTTTTGGGGAGTTTTGGACATATTTATTTCCATTGTTTTCGTAAAGTTCGTTAAAGGTCACAAAGGTTTCTAAAACTATAATTTGTTAATACATTTTTCAAGACAGACCCCAAGTTCTTAATTGGGTTAATGTCAGGGCTCTGAGGTGGCGTTTAGGTRCTTTAGACAGTTATATAATATCCAAAGCCTCGTATCTAACGCCGTATGTTGGGGGCGTTATCTTGCTGGAAGATGAAACGACTCCCTAACCCCAATTTTTCAGAACTCTGGTGTAGATTTCATTTTAGAATATCTATGTATGTATGTATGTACTTTTTAGCATTCATTACAAGTTTCATTAAGTGCAACTTCCCTACGCCCGGAGCATTGAGACATCCCATAACCATCACAGATGATACACCGTGCTTTAATTTGGGCTTATGGTTTGTTAATCAATATAGGAGGGAGACATACATATATTACTCCCTCCATACTTTTACTCTTTCATCTGACATCCTCCAAGTTGAATTATGATTCACTCGAAATCACCCTTTTCCAGAAACGATACTCCTTATTTTTATATGTTTTTGCAAAAATTTTACGATATCTTYGATTAATTGCATTGATAAATGGTTTTCTTCGTGCGACTCTGCTCCGAAATTCGACTTTTTTATATAATCCGTTACAGTTTGTGTTATTAAACTTGTACCATAGTTTTAATTCAAAAGAACAGAAACCGCACTAATAGTCACTTCTTTTCTGATTTCTCGT